CGTCCAATCACGGAAACGTACCCTGCTCGAGGACTATACGCTATACCAGTGTTGACAGTTCCCATATCTCTCCATTACTTATTGGTCAATGTCATATTTTTATTTATTTTTATTATTGCCATAAATATTTATTCCTTCTTTATTTCTTCATTACCTTGTTCTTTATTTATGTACTTTCGTGCCCCACTTCTATATACTAACTTGCATCATTCTCACACATTTCAAGTCGCATAGTTTTTAAGTATCATCAATATTTGGGTGATCAGTCCAATATTGACAAAACTTAGTAACTAAATCATTCGTATTTACACGTTCGAACATTCTTCCGTTCCTCATACCAATTACATGCTTTCTAATTTTTGTACAAATGAGATAACATTCTTATCAATAAATTTTCTTTGTCGGTGTTTAACTTTTTTTTGAACCATTATTATTAAAACCTCTCTTAACTACTTTATTCCTGTTTACACTGTTATTTATTTATTATTTTCATCTCTGTAACAATACTATTATCATTTACTCATTTATTTTCCTATACTTATTATTTTTATCGCTATTACAATGTTGTTATGATTTATCCTACACCTGTTAATGTGTTGCATGTTTTTTTATAAGATACGCTCATTGCATAACATTTTATAATATCATATTTTTAGAAACATCAGTATCATTCGTAAGAAATGGTTAGCAGACCTTTTATATTCACTGTGTAAAGATTGACTCTTGTTATATTTACCGACCTAACTAGTTTCTTGTCTTTCAAAAGAAATAAAAGTGTTATTTTAGCCAGAAAATATGAAAAATATAATTGATAATAAACGTTAAAATAATCGCATCGTATGATCGTGCCTAATGTCAACTTAACGTGTACAATTTGTTACTACATAAGTAGTAGTACTCATATAAATGAGTGCGAGTAAAAAAAAATGTACCTTAAACTAATATTTTTAATTTCTTATTTATTCAGAAGTCCACATGGTTACATCGTTAAAAGTTATATCGCTTTTATACAGATCGAAAAATATTACTGAAACTATGTTATATATTATGTCGTGTATACAGAATAATCGAAAATCACATTATAAGAGTTATCACCTTTACACAATGATACAATAATTTATTCAAACATTTAAAAGGAAGTTTTTTATATTTTACATAAGTTATTATATAAATTTAAGATTTAATGCCTTTAAAAAAAATTAAAACTTATAATGATAGTGAAATGCTTCTAACCCTTTAAAATTTGGATTCGAGAAAAAAAAATCAACGAAATGTATCACAGTGTTATTTTAAATCAAGTGCGTAAAATTGGAATCTATTATTTTATTATTTCATTAATTGTTTGGCAGGACACAGTAAAAAAATAATACAAAACTATAACTTCATAAATGAGAATATAAAGTCTGGTCTGGCGCCTTAATAGAAGTGCCACATAAGTGCTTAAAATTCAACTTAATTTTTAATACTGTATTATAATTGTTTTTGTTTTTTTTTATTTTTGTAGGTAATAAAATATTTGATAATAAAGTATATTGTGAATAATCTAATAACTAATTTCAACTTAATTATATGTAAAATACAGAATATTTAATATCTAATTTTAAAAACATAATAGCAAAAGAAAACCAATCTTAAATTGTTAACTAAAGTTTGAAATAGAATTAAAATCACATAGGTGCGAAGTTACCTCATAATTTGTTCTTTTCGGGTCTTCTTCTCCTTCTTCTCGGTTAAGGCTTGCAGGAAGTTTCTTCTATTTTTCTTAAATTTGTGGTCTCACCATCTAATTCGTTTAATCTTCATGTAATATTTGAAGCTGTCATAATATTTGTTTTTGAAGTTGATCGTTCCCGTTTTTTTTCGTAACATTTTTCTTCTTTTTCTAATAGGTTTTATTAGCATATCTCCTTAAAGAAATAATAACCTTGTCGCCTCTTCTTATGTCTCCGTTTCGGCTTACTTGTCACATCCGGTAGTGTCAATTCAATAGTTGAAAATTGTTCCTTTAGTTTTATATTTATTTTTCCATGTTTCTGTAACTATTTGTGCAGGCCGCGGCGGTGCGCGTGGCTTGTCGCCGCGCACCGCCTGGCAGGGTCGCCATGTAATGTTGAACGGTTGGTAAATGAAAGGAAGACGTGTTTCTCTACTCAAGACTTTAATTATACTGACACTTAAACCTAAGAGTAAGTATATTTATTAACATATGCTAGTAGGGTGGAGGCACATACACTACATGCTGTTAGCCTATGAGGCTCTTACATCCTTATCTAAGTCAGGAGAAAAAAAATTAATACTTAGTATCAATTTCAACTAGAAACCTTTATTGTTCCTGAGAAAAAATGTTTTAATAGATAGGCAGACAGATGGACGGACAACAAGGCGATTCTATAAAGGTTCCGTTTTCCCTGTTACGGTAAAGAACCTTATTTTTATAAGGTTCTTTACGTACATACGTGTACTATGAAATGTTAGTAATAAAACAGAATATGGTTTAAATTTTACGTGAAAAATATTTATCGTTACGTGTAAAAAGGCTCTTCTAGGTTTTCTGATTCTTCGGGTACGTGGAATTGGGTGTTTATTGAATTAGGATTCCTGATATTTTGTCTCAATAGCCTTCCATTTTAATATGCGGTTTTGAATATAGGGTTCGGTATGAAAAGGCGTATATTACATTACAAAAGAATAGTATGTTTATAAATACATGCACACCCAGAGGTTTCCAATCTATATATGTATATATAAGCGAAATACCACAGACTGACTGGCTCATCACGAGATCCCTAAAACTATATGCGCGATTGATTTAAACTTTAGTATAGTTACTCATTTCGCAATGTAGAAGCTCGCTAAGAACGGATTTTACGATAGTCCATTAAAAAAAATCTTGATATTTTACATCTAGATTCCGCAATAAAATATTATCGTGCGCCCAGCGAAACGAGCGGTTACCAGCTTAGTTATTTTATATACATCTGTGTCTTAATATTTCACATATTTGTAAGAAATTTGAAAAAGTCACGCTGTCCTTGTGTTGGCTCGACCGGGGGAAGACTACGCTCATCAGACCACTAAGATACTAGGTTACTAGGATTTTATGGTGTTTTTAAAACTACTAGCCATGATATGGTTGTAGCACGAATGGATCAGCTCGACAGGGGAAGGACCACGCTCTTAGATAGTACCAGCATCATAAATAGCTTTATGCTACCGTATTTCGCATAATGAGTGTAGAGAACGAGATACCCTTTTCTACTGGAAACATGGTTAGTTATCAGGGGTGACAACGCATATGTGCATTTTGATTATTAATGGAGGATGGATGTAGAAATAAGAGTAGAATATGTTCTACTCTTACTTCTACATCCATCTTCTATCCATCCACTATCTGAGACTTTTTGACTGCCTCATTGGTCTAGTGGTTGTAGTAGTGCGACTGCTGATCACGAGGTCCTGGGTTCGAATCCCGCGTCGGGCCAAAAATTAACTATTAAGTTTTTCCGTCAAGAAATTCTCAGAGTCAGCCCGGAGTCAGGAAGTTGGCGGTGTCTCACCCCGTGCCTCGGAAAGCACGTGAAGCCGTTGGTCCTGTGCCTGATCTTTCTCCAGTCGTGTCGGTTTACCTTCCCATCGGATTATGAGAGTGAGGGAATAGAGAGTGTACCTGTGTTTGCGCATACACTTGGGCACTATAATCCTGTCCTGCACCGATCGCTAGCCTCCGTTGAGGAAGGCCGCCGTGGCCGGAATTCGGTCTGGAGGATATTATTATATTTAAATTAAATATCTATTATTAGTAGATATTATTATCAAATCCCTAAAAAGATCGCATGTGATAGATAGATAGAACAGACAATAAGGTGATTCAACATTTTGGAATGGAACACTAATGAAAAAATAAATGGCAAAGCAATATCCAGGCTAATAAAACTACTGTTGTTATGTAAAAAAATACGGTTGACCCTACAGGCCAGCCTTGCAAATTACCGCCAATTTCAGATGCAAAGCGCTTCAAATTTTAATTTTCAATTTCAATTTTATATGTTTTGAGCTTTTCTAGCTTGAGAGAAACTTTTTCGAGTTACTTTGAAAAAACACTTTTTCGAGATTTCGTTCGACAACTATATCTCTCGAACGAATCAACTGATTTCGATTGCAGCAATCGATGTCATTTTTCGAATAAAAGAACTGATTAGGTCATACAATTGATCAAAAGAAGGATGTCAAAAGAATTAAAATAAAGGTTTTTTTAGAATAGTGCTGACTCGATCTAAATTCACAGGGAATCTAGTTCAGCGAGGCCCTTTCAAATATCGCAAACTGCTTTTCGATCGGACACTCCATTACAAAGTTATGAGATATTTACATGTTACACACACACACACACACACACGCACACACGCTCGCGCGCGGCCGCGCACACGCACACGCACACGCACACGCACACGCACACGCACACGCACACGCACACGCACACGTACACGCACACGCACACGCACACGCACACGCACACGCACACGCACACGCACACGCACACGCACACGCACACGCACACGCACATGCACACGCACACGCACACGCACACGCAAACGCACATGCACACGCACACGCACACGCACACGCACACGCACACGCACACGCACACGCACACACACATGTCTGTATATATACAGACATACGGACATCATCACCAAAATAGCCAGAACGAAAACTGAAACCTCGATTTTCAAAACTCGATATGAAAACAAAAACTTTACGATTTTCAAATCATCGATTTTATCATTGATTTTATATAGCGGGAAGCTAAAGAAGTGATAGTGGGAAGTAAAAATACCGATAAAAAATAGTAAGAAACGTGTTGACAAATTACATACAATTATTATCTATGCTAGTTGTTACATTTTTATAATCCAAATCTAAAATTGAATTGTCATACAATATTGTTACAATATGAAAATGAAACTTTTTTTTTACAAATAATTCTTTTTTATAAATATCTAATCATCATAATAACTATTAGTGGGACGACGAGAAACGCTCAGCACAGATTTGTCTTCGGGGCAAGCTGTTTGCTTATAATCTGAAAAAAAAGGTATATTAATTTTATGATAATATTTAATGGAAAACTTGCGGCGGTGGTCAAAATACCTGCCAACTATGGCAACTTTGGGAAATATCGCCTATGAGGTAAAGGGGAAGGCCCATGTTCAGCAGTGGAATTTAATTAGCTTTGACCATCATGATGATGATAATGATAAAATTATATTATTATGTAATTATCACATTATTATATAAGTATCAGTTTATAAAATGCAATGAACGTATTTTTCTTTTTTTTTGTGAGGGAACATCTCTTATTGCCAGCATAATTTAATCGCTTCGTAAGGCTTATTTGCCGATCGCAGAACAAAATATCTTAACACCTTTGATTCCCATCATCATTCGTGATATGAGTATCACATCTTGAACACCGATTTTAAAGATTTTTTGGTTTGGTTTTGTTAAACAAGAAGTTATTATATATACTAGAAGATACTTTATACACTAACTTCGTCTTCGGATACAGTTGAAATCAAACATGTCGCAAAGATCCCTGAAGCCCATAATATCACCAGCGTGGCTTACTCCACACACTGGCACACGGTCGTGGTTACACACCTTCGCCATACTGCACCATTTAGCGCCCATCTGTTTGAAAGTAAATTAGTAGATAATTGAATTTTTGTTTAATAAAATTGAAGTGGCAAACGAATTGATAGTCCACCGAGTAATGATAAGTGGCTGTTGCTATAACACCTGTAACTGACTTTAAATAGATAAGGGAACAGATGCGTTGTTGCTCTGAGGACTAACACAAAATGCTTCACAGCTACAACTCGCGGCACGTAACTCTAGCGCTGAACAAAACGTGGATGGGATCGCTGCTGTCATATCAGTACGAGGGACGGAATGCGACTGGAGAGTAGGCATGTCAGTCTGAGATCGATTAATCGAAGAATCAATTTCTTGCGCCACAAATATCGATTTTTTAAATTGATATACAGTACTGAATCGATCCAGTGAATCGATATTTCACTCTGGAAAATCGAGATCGAATCTTTTTCTGTTTTTATAAGAACTATTAAATTATTTACAATTAGTTGTATTTACCCAAACTCGTAAAGAGTGACAGTTTTTCTATTCAAAACTCACAAAACTGCTACGTGCTCAGTTTCTTTCGCCTCTTGTCAATGGATTAAAGAAATAAAAAAGTAACGTTTGTAATCTGTTCTTTGTTGTATCTTTTGATGTTGTAAGCATAAAATCTGTAAAGCGAATCGAAAAATCAATCTCGATTTTCTTTGTAAATAGATTTATCGGATTTCGATTCGAATTGATTTAAAAATCGATTTTTTTAGGAAAGAATCGACATCCCTACTGGAGAGCCAAATAGCGCATCCGAACGATACGCACAGTCAATCATACGCAATATTGCGTAATACGGCTAATTACAATAATTATGGGGTAGTGGTACCCAATGCGTATGAAAGTGAACGGTAAAATACGGTACTTATAATAGAAACACAATTTTTAATATTAGATTTACATTTTATGTTCTTCGTATATTTCATTGTAAATGCAATGAAATCAGAACTTCTTCACTTGTTAGTAAACTAATAAAAGTTTAATAGCATGAATATTGAGTGCGCTGTGTTCGCAGGGAAAATTTTATTTTTATTTATAGCACTGCGTTGCTTCTTGTATTTTTTATTTAAAAAAGTAGACATTATAGTTGTATACGCAAATATAAAAATGATTTTATTAATGTAATTATGGAATAAAACAATATCATAATTATGTCAGTATTACTGTTACATTGCCAATTATACATCTATTACAGCCCATAAATTCCAATGGTGAACCTAAGCCTTCTCTACAGATTGCCTTATACTAGGGATTTGCCCTAGTTTTTTCTTTTTATACATTAAGTGTAACAAACGAGCACACAGTCCATCCTATGGTAAGTGAATACTGTGAACTATAGACATCTACATTTCTCTTCGATTAAAAATCAAAATGAAGCATGCGTCGCCACCCTTGAGGACTAAGATAGAATGCCTCGTTTCTAGTAAAAAGGATCTCCCGTTCTCTATAATCACCATAAGAATATTCAGTAGCGTTAAGCTGCTATTTTGCGCTGATACCCCGGTCGAGCCGAGCCATTCGTGTTACTACCATAATACATCTAAAGCATTGTTGTGCCGCATATATAAATCGCCACGCATGTTGGCAACTGCAGTTTTTTAAAGTGATAACCTTTAGAATCATTGTGATTTGAAACTAGATGAAACGAAAAGCGACACTAAAAAGAGACAAACATAAATATATATCTTTAGGATTTAGACTGCGAGAGAAAGAGACAGAATACAGTATACAGTGTTAATTAAGAATTTATTTATATTATAATTCTATATGACTGTGATAGAGTCATGCTGCATTTAGTGAGTGTAGAGAACCGGAGACCCTTTTTACTGGAAAAGAGGCATTCGATCTTAGTCCTCGCGGCTGACATCGTATCTGCATTTTGATTAACAAATGAGGATAGATGTGTATGAGCCACAGCAACGATTATCACCCTTATCTTATAAAAAAATTACACAAACCCTACAATTATTCTATTTCTAATCTTCTGCATTCGTCTAATTTTCTCAAAGTTTAGTTTTCTGAAAGTTTCACTTCTACCGCGCGAGAGTTGTACACATGTTTCTTTTTTAATTTTTTTTAATAAGATGCTGCCGCCGATCTTCTATTTCAATTTCCCTCTATTGTCCCCTTATAACACTCTCAGGACGATATGTGTACATGCTAAAGTAGTGTTTACAATAATTGCTAATTGCGTTTCATTGGTCAAATTCAGTTTGTTCGCGTGTTACTATGTATTTTTAAGATAAGCGCTTATCCCCTGAGTAATTACGGTTTTATGTTTGTACATTTTGCACACCCCGAAAGAAAAGGTAAAGAGGTTGGGGAGTACTGTCGACTTGACAATGTCAAGCTACCCGCTCTCATTAAATTCGGTGTATATTATTTTTATATTGCACTAATACGTAAATCTAATATTAAAATTAAGAGAAGACATTAATTAATATAAGTAATGTTTTATTTAAGTTCTGCAATTACTTGTTAAGACGGATAGGTCTTAAGATGAACATGGACAAAACAAAGATCATATTTAATGTCCACGTCACACCTATGCCGGTAGTTGTTGGGAGCACTACGCTCGAAGTTGTTGACGAGTACGTTTACCTGGGACAAATAGTCCGACTAGGTAAGTACAACTTCGACCGAGAGGTCAATCGACGGATTCAACTCGGCTGGGCAGCGTTCGGGAAATTACGACATATCTTCTCGTCAGGTATACCTCAATCTCTAAAAACTAGATTGTACAACCAGTGCGTGTTGCCAGTGATGACTTACGGATCTGAGACGTGGTCCTTCACTGCTGGCCGTATGAGGACGCTCAAGGTTGCTCAGCGAGCTATGGAGAGGGCTATGCTCGAAGTTTCTCTGCGTGATAGACTCAGAAATAGGATATCCGCAGTAAAACCAGAGTGAACGACATAGCCCAATGGATTAGTAAGCTGAAGTGGCAATGGGCCAGCCATATAGCTCGAAGAACCGATAACCGATGGGGAAGAAAGGTTCTCGAGTGGCAGCCTCGTACCGGTAGGCGTAGTGTAGGGCGACCCCCCATTAGGTGAAGTGACGACCTGGTAAGATATGCAGGAAGTCGATGGATGGAGGTTGTGCTGTGGTATTACGGGAGCCTATGTTCAGCAGTGGACTTGTGAAGGGCTGTAATGATGATGATGATGAATTACTTGCTATTATAAAAAGAAGTCCAAGAATTTTTTTAAAGATATGGTTATTAGATAAAGGTTAGTGTTTAAACATTTTTTTTCTTATTTGTTTTCCTTTAAGAGCCTTATAATGTTTAAAAATATAAAATATAGTTATATTGTTTATAATTATTAAAAAAAAAACTAAAAATTATATATCAGTCTGCTTTTGCGTTAAACATATTTATACCGGTGTTAGATTTGCAGTAACTACAAAGGATTGTAGAATGCAAAATTAAAACTCGCTAACTCACAGACACTGCATACGGTAACCGCTTAGAATATCAAAAGACTTCCTTAATATACGTGGTGGGGAATTCATCACCGTTAGGAGTCAAAGGATCTTTCGTGTAGTCTATTTAGACAATTGATGATGAACTTATTTCACCACATCACGCCGTAGTGACACAAATGGTAAATATTTTTATGTGCTTTAGAAAATTACCCATATTGATCGATTAGCCACCATCGAACACCTTACCAGTTTGAAAAGAAAATTGGCGTAAAAGCAGGTGCATTACTTTTTTTACCTTCCGCCCCATAACAACATCTTCGTTATCACGTTCCAGTGGAGGTCCATGAGCAATCACAAAAACTATCATGTAGCAGGTGAGAAGAAAAACTGAAAAAAATTAGGTGATGTTATTGCACTGTCTTCTCTCAATGGATGATGATCTTTTTGCTTAGGACAGATTTCTACTGAATTAATCTTTTATATAAAAGATTTCGTAGACATTTGGGTGTTAAACAAACATATAATCCAACTGAGGGTAAGTAGATGTTGTGGCCCATATATTTCTACATCTGTCCTCTATTAAGAATCAAAATTCCGATACGTTCTCACATGAAGATAAGGTCTCTATAAGCGATTTTAGAGCGTGCACATTTTTCTTTATTTCCTGATTTTAGCAATCAAATTATAATCCTATTGCATTATAGATCAAATACGGTACAATTTGGTACGTCAAAATGCAAAATGAGCAATCAATCCAATCTTTCAGTGGCTTCTATAGCTCATGGACACTTACAACAACCTTCACATAGATAAACTTACAAATGCGTTATCACCTTTGAGGGCAACGATTGTCTGCTTCACAACTTTTGATTATAGCATAGGCTTTACACACCCTACAAGCCAGAATACCGCAGCGATGACAGTAGTGTTTTGCGTCGGAAATATACAAAACGGTAAGCAACAGTAGCGTAATGGTCAAGGGTGCAGACTACTGCCATAGATCACTTCTAACATAAGCTTTTTTAGTTAATTTGGGATGTTAAAGGGAAGTAAAAGTGATTTGAAAAGCCTTACTAGTATTTTTTTTTAAAAAACAGGAGATGCCTACCCTACCTAGACGAATCTGAAGTGGATAAGGGAATCTGTCACCTAGTTGTAATAGTTGTAGTAGAACAATAATATACGCAGGTATGTATTTTTAACACTGGGGGAGGTATCATGGCCTCACAGAACATCAGCGTGAAGTAGTTTACTTCTGGGTTTCGCTTGGTAAGTGCAGGTGGCCGGAGGTCTCATTACCCCCCCCCCCCCCATCCCCTAACATGGTAGTGGAATTAAATAAAACACTACCCCAGGAGGGTACCAGCAACCTGGGTGATGGAAAATCCATCGCCATATCCTCCCCTGAGCGTTCACGTCCAAGCTTCCGTACTTTTCCTTGACATTCTCGCGGTGTAAATGCTAAACAATGCAGGGATTGTGATTTACACGAAAGTGATCGATACGCAAATCACTCCTCTAACTAGAAGTCAACAAGTCCAGTGGGCCTGATGGAGTCTCACCTATTGTGTTGAAGCGAGTGCTCAAGGCTGCGTGCTATTACCGACGCTGTTTATTCTGCATATTAATGATATTTTGCAAAACAGTAACATTCATTGCTATGCGGACGACAATACAGGTGATGCTTTATACACCGGCCGCGCCAATATATCTAGGAAAAACGGCGCCAAGTACAGGAATAAACTGCATAGATCGGAACAAAAGTTAAATTTTAATCTATGGTAACCGCGGTTAACTATGACATATGGACGTTGAACATCTCAGTCCCGCCCGTGACCATGAGTGCTGTAAAGCGTTCGAAACGTCGGGTATTTAAAAAGTTAAATATACGCAATAAATTCCGTAAAAACTAGTATTATTTCAACAGGAATAAACTTGTGTCTAAAGTCGAATTTGTTGAAAAGATTCTCGGATTGGGATCAATTAAATTCTTCTAGTTCAGTCCTCAGAAGACACAAGTTTGTGAAGCAAAAAGTACCCCTTTGTCGTATCTACTCGGCTTTGGAGCACTCCCTTTTCTTGCCTCAGCCAGTATCAAAATCTGATCTGAAATGACGTGTAGTTTCGTGGTCATTTGGAAGAAAAGGCCAAATTAACATCTACCGGAGACCGTTTTTACTGGAAAAGAGACATTCCATCTTAGACCTCGTGGCTGACAACGCATCTGCAATTTAATTCGCAAATGAGGATAGATGTCTATGGGCCACAGCAACCGCTTACCATCAGGTGGACTGTGCGTTCGCTTGTCACATAAAAAAAGTTGACTTTTAATGGGCTGTAATGGTGGTGATGATGCTTATTCCATAGTAAAAATTCTATTTACATAACCGAACTTAAATATATTTTTGATCAAATTAATTAATCGAAAAGTATTACCCATTTTTGTTTTGGTAAATAAATATTAAAAAATGCTTTATATAATAGATAAGCAGATAGTTAAAAAATAAACCAGAAAACGTACCTAAGGTGTTCATTACCATTTTCTTTATTTTCCGTTTCGTTTACTAAGTCTCCTTCTCCAGCGCCGTTGATTATAAATGACGGCACAACTAGTTTCCGCTCAATATTGTATTTACAAACTTTACCTATTGTAGGAGTTTCCTAGAACACCTAAATTACAACACACCGACTTCGAACGTAATAATAAAATGATGAGAACTTAATGTATTAATTATCGACGAGACAATGAACTGTTTTTTGTTTAGATCCGAGGTATATGGTCGCATTTGTGTTGCTTCGCTTCTTGAAAATCTATAAAGAAGAGTTTTTATAATTAAGTGGTTTTATAATAATTTATGGAAAATTGTAATGTTCGTATTCATTTGTCATGGGAAGCCAAAGTAAAGTAACATGGACAATGGCTTCTTTATTTTTTAAAGGGCGGTGGTGATTAATAGAAGATGGAACGGTTCGCTACGCCATCCTACCACGGAAATACTGTAATTTTACATAAATAGAATTTTGAGTTATGCAGAAAAACTTAAAGCAGAAAGGACTTAAAGAATTGATCAATAGGACTCTAGATTATTGCCTTATATTAAGCATAATTGGAAATACCTTAAAGTCTAACAAATATTATACTTTATTATTGGTAATTAGATTAATACTTATATCATGATTTTGATTTAGAAAGAAAGAAAACTTTATTTGTTGCAAATAATGGTTCAAAAAACACTTAAGCGACTAAAAATTAGACAAATAAAAGTAGTTATGCATGTATTACAATACGGATAGATTAAATTTTAACTAAAATAAAAGTTAAAACGATAAAGAACAAAGCCAGAATACAGGAATGTTTATGCAAAGGGACCAAGTTACAGTTTATTGTTGCGCGCCATAATTAATGCCACTAGCGCTTTCTAGTATCAAGTAGCAGAACTAGGAGAGGTTTCTAGAAAATTCTATACTAGAACTTTCTACACCTAGTTAGTCGGGATCGGTATGTACTCGAACATTCTAGATGTTTCAGTAGGAGAGGGCCTATATAAGGTCGGTAGGACCGAGTCAGTATTGAATTGGTAATACAAGCGAATACTTCGAAGCGATAAAACTGCAAAGTGTAATTATTAGTGCATTTTAAGTTGTCATTGGTGGTCAGTATTTAAAGATTCAATTTTGGTAATTCAATCGGCAGTTTTTATTGTCACGAACCCTAAGCTCGTAACAATATTACGGTGCACGTATGGCAGCATAAAATAGTAACTGGAGTCACTTTTTCCTGGAAACGAGGCCATCTTGGTCCTCAGTGGTAATAACGCATCTGAATTTTAATCCTTTATAAAGGATAGATAGTTTAGTAGAGACGGTCACGGGTGAAAGTATTCACTTACCATCAGGTAGACTTTGCGCTCATTTATCATCCTTACTCCTACTCTAAAATCCAATTTTTAACGATTTTTGTCTATTAGACGTAAAAGTAATGAAATAAAAATAAAGAATAAATTACATACGTGTTCTGTATTCACAGTTGAATTCTAAGAGATCACACTTGTCTAAGAATCTTCTCACCTCCTTTGTGGTTGGATTTAATCCACATATGCGTACTTTTGAGTGAACACATTTAAATGCATCAATGCATGTTGTCTAAAAGGCATAACTTTTATCAAATTAATGATTTCTTTTTTCTTGCCTATAACGCATTATTCATTAAAATTAAGTTTTATTTGCAATTGATTATAATAATATACAAAATTAAAGAGTCAGAGAATACATTAAAATAAGATATTTCCAGTTTAGCGGAATATTTTATTGAAGCTAGATATTTGAAAAAATAGTTTTAGTTATTTTAAAATATTCTGTAATTAGTAGTTAAATTTATTGTTTTCTCAGATTTGTACACTAGAGTCAATTTAACCGTTAACGTAACAGCCTGTCAAAAGTCCACTGCTGAATATATTCATCTCTCATATTTGCCACAGTTGCCACGCTCGGCAGCCGGATTGGCAACTACATTTTATTACTCATTATTACAATGAGATTAAGAGAAAAAGTTAAAGTTAATATATAACGCAATTTTTCTTTATCGTGCTTACTTTTATTTTGAGCTGTTCAGCATTTTTATTTAAATAGAGTGTGTAAATTAAAACAAAATAAAAGAACGTAGTCATAACTTCTTGGACTATTATTTGTTCTGTGTTCATAACACACGACTTTGTTTCGATAAAATATTTAGTATAAATGGAAAATCCTAAACAAATACGAGCAGTAAAAAATTTAACGATATGGATAAGTAAGCGGTAAAATTTAATAGATATTTTTTATTTGCAATATAAAATAAAATTCTAAATGTTTTGAAATATACAATATTATGTTTGTATCAAAGGCAAAAAGAAAGGCTTATTGATTGATAATGACTTACAGATGCTTATGTTTGGGTAAAATTGTTTTTTTTTTTACTCTTTAGAAATAAGTAAAACTTATAGGTACCTCATAAGTATTTTACTACTTATTTCAAATATTTATTTTCAGGTTTACCAGCATTGGCTTTTTGTTTATGTATTTGCCCAAGTTTTGTCAAACCTCTTTCACATGTAATGTTATTTTTAATTTTTAGTAGTCTAGTATCTTCAATTGTTCTTTCTACGTACACACTGAAAAAATATTTAAATAAATAGAGCATACTTTTTTTTGAACAAATTATATTTTTATCATAGCAAACAATTGTAAATGCAATTCAAACTATTCCGTAAAAATTCGTCTTAGTGTTAAATTTTATGCTAAAAACGTCGTCTTCGACCTAATAGAAGTTGTAATTTATAAGGCCTGTTTTCTTGCCGCAACCTGTGTTCATGACGCCGTGGAGAAATG